TGGGTGTTCAAGTGTTGTTTTAGCAACTGCAGAATGTATAGATTGGAGGGAATAATGCTATTTATTTAAATTATGTAGTGGTATCATGCATATACACCTGGTATATATGCAACACAAATATATTAAAAGTAGAATGTGCATGAATTGTGAGATCGAATTTCATCTGTTTTGTTCGATTTCTGTTGGAAATAGTTAGTGTTAGATTATGAGTAGATTGCATGTGTAAAATGTTTCATATTATCCTTTTATGTGGTGTAAAAGTTGTATGTGCGATTAAGAGAGCTATAGTTGACACCAATCATATCTTCTTCACAACTCCTTACCACCTTATATTTTAGGGGAGGACTTTGTTTTTGTTTCATGATCTATTGGCCTATTTATTCAACAACAAGAAATAGGTTGCATTTTCCTTGTAGTTAATTAAAATTAGAAATCGGAGGGTGTCTAGAATTTCATTGGAGACATATAAAAGAAATTTGTCTTGCATGCTTTTGTCCGTCATGCTGACCCTATACTATTGCTATGCTTTTGCATCTTCCCCTCAACACAATAGAGAGGATCAACAAAAACCTTTGATATTTGATGGTCCTACCCAATTATAGTCATCATAAATCCACTCTTTTTATGTAAACCTCCCACACTCTCCATAATCTCGGGTCCATTTTTGCTGCTTCTTTGCTTCCCTAGTGGCTCTGTTGTTAACGTTGATTTGTGAATTCATTTTAGTATTCCTAATAATCATTTCGAACTTTTTGATTACCCTATAGCTCTAGAATCCATGGGTTGCTCAGCGATGTAGATCTTAATGCGTGGTTAACCATTTGTCATTACCTTTAGCACATCACCATCTTTAGGTGTCAATGTAATTTACCTTATTTAACATCTATCTGTCTATCTGTTTGTCGATCGATCTCTCTATCTATGTCTATCTCAAGGGGTTTAAAATCAGTAGGACATGGTTTTAGTTTGTTGGTTGTGAGTGTAGGGTTTAATTTTGTTTTGGTAGTGTGCATAATTGGGATAATTGTGAAGTCTTGGATAAGATGCAATTATTATGATGGCTACCGTACTTTGAATATATTTCCATACTAGTTCATTATAAGAATTCATCCCAAGGCTTGGGTGTTATTTTCATATTATTGTTTGAAACTCAAAATATGTGCACATTGTGATGCTACTTTTGGGTTTTGTTGTATAAAATTTTTCCTTGGAGGCTTGAAATATATAGTGGAGATGGAATGTTGACCTTGGTTGGATTTTATTTGAACCAATCTTTTCTTGGGGGGCCATAATACATTTACTCAAACAAGACTTTTATTTCTCTAATACTTAGGGATATGTCAATATAATTGCTTTTACTTCATACTATTATCTTTCATGAGATTATATCAAATTCGTTCATTCAACTATCTGGCTTTTGGAACTTAACATATGTGAGTCATACTTTTGTTTTGATATACATAATTCTCCTCACACATGAGCGTTGTGAGTAATAAAATTACTATAACTTGGAGTGTTTTTATTATCGAGTGTTAACGCTTGGAGAGGTTTTACATTAAAGCTAGCTATGGATAGCTAAAGTGGAAGATTGTTGTTTACTAGAATTTTGAAGATAGATTGACAACTTAACTTGGATCTAACAGGTAATTCCAATTATTGTTGACATGTATTGAAGTTTGTTGGTATCTTTACTAGAAATCTTCACGAGACAAAACTTGTGTTCAAAAACTTATTGCTTATGCTCAATGTAATCGCACTACTAACGAAAGTGGTTTTTTGATTTATTGTTATTTTATTTTTGGTTTTTGTTATTACTAGGGACTAGTAATGTCTAGGTTGGGTGTGATTAACCATTAATAGTTATATTTTAACATGCATTAGAATGGTAATTACATTTATGAAGTATTTAATGGGATGATTTTATTATCATTTTATGTATAATGGTTGGTTTGGAGTAGTGACATTATTTTAGGGGTAAAAAGGTCAATGTAGCAAGTTTGGAGACAAAGACATATGGAGAAAACGATTGGAAAAAGAAAAGCAAGAAATTCTAGAAGTAACAGAGGCTTTTGAACCCCTCCGTTGGCATTCAAATGCCACCCTCAGTCAAATATTCACTAAAAAATCAGACAAATAATCACCTCCACTGAAGGAAGAGACAAATTGGAGGAAATGATGAAAAGCTATTGGCATTTGAAATCCTATCTAGAAATCAAGAAAAAGCAAGCAAATTTACCCTAGATGGTTGTTGGTGTTTGAACACCTCCCTCAAAAGCTGAGAGCGTGTTTGGTTATCTTCTCAAAAATAGTTTTTTGTTCTCAAAATTTTAAAAACACTCAAAATCTGTTTGTTTAGCATTTTTGTTCACAAACTTTTAAGAAAAAAAATGAGATTTGAGGCAAAAAAATAGAAAACAAGTGTAGTTTGTTTTTAGAGTTTTCTTTGAAAATTTTGGAAACACGGAGAATAGTTTTGGGCCTTTAATAAGGTATTCCCTTCGAGTCCCCTTAGCGGCAAAAGTCTTCATTCATTCTTTTTATATTTTTTTCCTTCCTCTCTTCCGAACGTCTTCTTCTCCATTGTCTCCATCTCTTATCTCTGTCTATAACGAAGGTGGAGCACAGAACCACAGATCTGTGTTATTGTGTGATGNGAGTAATAAAATTACTATAACTTGGAGTGTTTTTATTATCGAGTGTTAACGCTTGGAGAGGTTTTACATTAAAGCTAGCTATGGATAGCTAAAGTGGAAGATTGTTGTTTACTAGAATTTTGAAGATAGATTGACAACTTAACTTGGATCTAACAGGTAATTCCAATTATTGTTGACATGTATTGAAGTTTGTTGGTATCTTTACTAGAAATCTTCACGAGACAAAACTTGTGTTCAAAAACTTATTGCTTATGCTCAATGTAATCGCACTACTAACGAAAGTGGTTTTTTGATTTATTGTTATTTTATTTTTGGTTTTTGTTATTACTAGGGACTAGTAATGTCTAGGTTGGGTGTGATTAACCATTAATAGTTATATTTTAACATGCATTAGAATGGTAATTACATTTATGAAGTATTTAATGGGATGATTTTATTATCATTTTATGTATAATGGTTGGTTTGGAGTAGTGACATTATTTTAGGGGTAAAAAGGTCAATGTAGCAAGTTTGGAGACAAAGACATATGGAGAAAACGATTGGAAAAAGAAAAGCAAGAAATTCTAGAAGTAACAGAGGCTTTTGAACCCCTCCGTTGGCATTCAAATGCCACCCTCAGTCAAATATTCACTAAAAAATCAGACAAATAATCACCTCCACTGAAGGAAGAGACAAATTGGAGGAAATGATGAAAAGCTATTGGCATTTGAAATCCTATCTAGAAATCAAGAAAAAGCAAGCAAATTTACCCTAGATGGTTGTTGGTGTTTGAACACCTCCCTCAAAAGCTGAGAGCGTGTTTGGTTATCTTCTCAAAAATAGTTTTTTGTTCTCAAAATTTTAAAAACACTCAAAATCTGTTTGTTTAGCATTTTTGTTCACAAACTTTTAAGAAAAAAAATGAGATTTGAGGCAAAAAAATAGAAAACAAGTGTAGTTTGTTTTTAGAGTTTTCTTTGAAAATTTTGGAAACACGGAGAATAGTTTTGGGCCTTTAATAAGGTATTCCCTTCGAGTCCCCTTAGCGGCAAAAGTCTTCATTCATTCTTTTTATATTTTTTTCCTTCCTCTCTTCCGAACGTCTTCTTCTCCATTGTCTCCATCTCTTATCTCTGTCTATAACGAAGGTGGAGCACAGAACCACAGATCTGTGTTATTGTGTGATGGATGTATATATATATATTGTGTGATAGTGTGAGCGTTCTTTGGTGTTTTTTTTTTTGTTTTTGTGGAAAAAAATTATTGGTATTTGTGTGTTTGGTTTTATTTTAAATGATGGTCATTGATGTATTTTTTTATATTTATTTTATTTTTGATGAAAATTATTGAATATGTTTGGTTTATTGAATTTTTTTTTATGAAATTGTCAATCTAAAAAGTAAATTTCTTAAATTTTTTATTAATTTTTGAATTACTGTTTAAACATATATTTATGTTGTCCAAACAAATTTGACTATTTTTTGTATTGTAAAATTATTTTTGAAATCATCTAACCAATCAAGTTTTTTATCTCAAAAAAAATCAAAACACACTTTTTTAAAATTCTTCTCAAAAACTGTTTTAAGATACTATTTTTTGAAACGCAAACCAAACAGGCTCTGAATTTTGCAAGTTGATTTCCAACTTTAGATTTTGTGCTCCACCTTTGGATACTTATTCATCAACTCCGGATTTTGTGCTCCGCCGCTTAAAGTAGAATGTTGTTCAAAATGTAGAGAGAGAGAGAGTGATGAATAAATATGTCCTCAAGTTGATGATGACGATCTAGTACCATATCGCCTCAATAGACCAAGGATCTCCTTTTGATTGTCTTCATAGCAAACCATCCTAGCCTCAAGACTCCCCATTCTTTTCTCCATTCCTAGTATAATCTCTGTATCATTCTCCATATTCCTAGCATAAGCTCCTATGCTGGTTGATCTTGTGCGAGGTCTCCCTCGTTCTCCTCATGCTCAGCTTTCGCCTCATTTCTAACCCCTCCAACTACTTGCCTTGCCACATGCTCAGTGCTCCTATGGAGTGTGGTCTTATCCATATTGCTAATTCCTTCACAATCTTCTAACTAGGGTCGACCACAACACCCTTATGCTTGCACAATTTAGTGACAAGAATCCTAAATGGAAGAGTGGGTCTGTTGTTTCTTACCATAGGCATCATTTGGTCAACAATTAGATTGGGCAAATCAATTGACTGCCCCTTGCCAAAAGCATGCAATAACACAACTCTTTCTTTATAAACTTGATTCTTTTGGCTTTGGGCCATAAGGTTGGTCACTACAATCAAGTTGAGAATTCTATATTTTTCAGTGAGGTCGCCTTGCTTAATGCATTTACTTGGGATTTCCGGTTAAAATCCTGCCCATTGCATTGTATCAATTGGGGGATTAGGAGGTACATTGCATTGGGTACTCTTGGGCATAGGCTTAATCATATCAAAAATCACATTAGGATTAACAACAAATTCAAAACCCCTCACAAAAGTAGTAAATTGCCTTGCCTCAGTAGGCTCGGCATTGTTGTAGAATTCTTTTACATTGTATTCAACCCTAACTCCAACCGATTTCATGTAACTCTCCCATCCTCTATTTCTCAACATTCCCCTTATACCCAAGTGCTCAAAATCCTCATATATGATTCCCTTTTCACAAACTATAGATTTAGCAAAGAAGTGGAGGTAATACATTATAGCCAAAATTATTCCCTTTTCCCTTTGCACAAGATCCTAGAAGACATTATCTCCAAAATGGTAGTGAACTTGAGATTCTTGCTCATGCAACCCAAGATTTTGCTCTTCTTGTTCCTCTTTGTATAGTTGTTGAGGTTCTCTCCTTGGTTTGCTAGAGCTTATTCTCTTCGCAATGTTTTCTTCTTGGTCCCATGAGAAGAATCTGTGATGAAATCAAAGAAATCAATCGGTGAAATTGTGTTAGGAGCCATAGATTTTGAGTTTTATGTAAAGAAATCAAATTTTAATCGATGGGTTTTGAGTGTCTAAGGTGGGAGGAGTGTTTAGGGAGAGGCTAGGGTTTTTGAAAATTCGATTAGGAGGCAAAAATGGCGAAGAACGACGGTCTGTAGATTTTTATATCGCGACCGAGTGATCGAACGCCTCTGCCTCTCTAGAATTTTAAGGGATTCTGTTTTTGGGTTTTTGCTCTAGGGGTGTTTGAACGATGGTCAAGAAGGATCGATTGGGGAGGCTCAAATCGAATATCGTAAGATCTAACAAACTCAAAAAAATGAGAAGAAAAATATATGCAATACTACAAGGTTCTTAAAAATATGAAAATAATAAACATGTTATATATGTAAATAGCATAACAAATATAAAACTTAGAAATATGATTAAAATTTGAAAAACTACAATCTAAGCATTGAAGAGGGTTGAAAATCAAAGGCGAATTGTTAATCTTATGGGATTTTGCAATGATTAATGAGAGAATTAAAGTATTTTGATCCTAACTAGCGGAGAGAGATGGTTGTTGAGGAGACGTTGGAAAGTCGAGAAACTGTTGAATAAACCACTTTGACCGTTCAACATTAAAAATAGAAATGGATTAAAATGAAAGATTATGGGCTATAATCACTTACCGAAGTGATGAGATCAAACCTAGCCGTTGTTTTTTACTTTTCAATAAGAGAGATGAATGGATCAAGAAAGCTTCTTCTAAGCTTTTATGTAACTTTTCTCATCCATCAAAATTCTCCAATAGACTAACAATTATGTGAGACAATCCAATCAGGATTCTTTGATCCTAGAAATTCGGATAGAACCTATTAATTAGACATTCTGCAAGAGACTCGGATCAGTTTGTTTGTACCAAATGTGGGATTGTAAGATCTTTGATAACCATGGTCTATCTATCATGAGGTTGTGTAAAGGCATTTGATGAATTTCATGCGGCCTAAACCACAGGTTATTTAATCGAATCTATGATATCTGAGGGCTCACATTAGTTGACACTTTCTATTCATGCTAATAGCTAGGTCTAGCTCAAATACAGGTCACACCTTGGGCTTTCTTATGCCTTCATGTCTTATCTAGATGTATCATGCAATTATTTGGTTGATTTGCAGTTTGGTTGGTGATTTGGCCCATGTTGGCAGTTTCCCAATGTTAGTTTATATATTGCGATTCTGTGGGTATTGTTCTTTCTTGGAGATTTACTATGAACCAACTTACTTTGTGTTTTTGTAAGCATGTGCTTATGTGTGTGTTTGTGTACATATTTATTATATAAATATATAACTTGCCATTATCAGATTGCTCGGTGATGACAATCTCAATTGATTGGGCAATAATATGGTCTCTATTTATCTCTAGCCTTCACTAGCTACCAGCTCCACCTCTTCCTTCATCAGTGGGCCCACCAAAGTTAATAGTTGATGATTGAACTTCAACAAAATTGACAGAATTTGGAATTGAGATGATCCGGATCCTGCCACCTATTTTGTCGTAGCATTGCACCAGTTTACTGCCTAGTGTAATCATTGGTGGAGATTGTAGTCTTTTGATGAATACCATTTATTTGTAGCTATGAAATCGTGGAGCTCTTGTCATCTAGTATTTTGAAACTTTGCCTATCTTAAACATCAGACTTAGGACAGTTGTTCTGATAGATAGTTATTGGATTTTGACTGCAGCTTCTGGTGCTGTTACATGGTTCAGAAACTTAGTATTTTGATGCATTCAGAAGAAGTGATGAATAGGAAAATTCATATTTGATCCCTGCAAACTACCTTTAGATTGTACAAGCAAAGTGTGTTTTGCAATAAAGTGTTGGGTTGTCAACTTGAGATATTATGAATTTTACAACCTGGTACATTGGGTGAAGTGGAGATAAATTCCATTTTGGAATCATCTGCTCTTGTTATTTTTCAATGTGATGTACTTGATGATGCCTCAAAATTACTTGGTTTCCACATAATTATGTATATGGCTCTCTGTAATATAGGTAAATAATATGCCACATTTTGCATATCTTAAGTTTGGTATCAATTTCTTGTTTTCTTAGCACATGAAGGATTGTTCAGTAAATATAAACACATCCATGTGACAGATTGTGTATCTGTCTTGTAATTAATGAGGCTTTATATCCAACTTCTTGAGGTTGTGTGTTTGTCTGATTCTTCTCTGGACAACTTCTTGTAGAGCTTACAGCATTCACAAGTATAAGGTTTTAACAGTGAGTCATATTAATCCACATGATATCATTGTGTTTATTGACGAATTTATTTTGCTTTGGTTACTAATTGTCCGTGTTTAGTGCAATTTTTTGGCTGCTATATGTAATTTTGTTTGCAGTTCATCTAATTTTTGCACTTTTGGGATACCTGCTTCTTGTTGTCTTGTCCCATTATCTTTGCTTTGTATATTTATGACTAAATGCCCGATGATGGAAAATTCATTTTGTGGAGAGGTTGCTTTGGTTTTCATTCTAAGCCTCCCCCTATCATCACCATCACCATCACCATCACCATCACCATCATCATCATCACCATTGTTCTTCTTCTTGCTGTTATTGTTACAGCGATATTATGACTCTGGGGGGATAGGTTTTAATGAAAATCATAGCACTATACCACCAAATGAAAATTATGATAGCTATGAGATCTGAGGGCCTATTTAGCACATCCACTATGGTTGCTTATATGCACACTTGCGTGCCCCTTTCAGTTTCAGATCGATATTGAGTTGCATATTCTATGGACAGATTTGTACCTAATCTGTTAAAACATGAGTGCTTGGATCTCAGCTTGTCTCATGTTCTGAAGGTGTCTACCCAAACTGAATTGCTTCCTTAGTACTGGTATGCATCTAAAAATTCTCACTTAATGCAAATTTGACCATTCACTCGTGTTATATAAGTAACTCTTTTACGGACATCTTACAAAGTTGCACATCTAGTCCATTGTAAATGTTTTCTGCAGCGTCCTCACAGATGATATATTGGTGATTCCATTCAGATAGCATCTTTGTGGATACTTTGTCAAGCGGTACAGAATGCAAGTCGGAAGATTTTAAACATCTTCCTCATTTCTTTCGATGGTAAATCATCTTTCATTATAGATTCAAGTTGAATCTATTGTACACGAAAATGGGTGTCCTATCAGTACATTATGAATGATCTATTATTGTGGAAATTAAAGGACATTGTATTTGTTATTAATTTGTTCTCTCCTTTGTAAGTTCCAAAAAGTTTTGTTCTGTCCTCTGAATTGGGAATTTTTTGAATACTATCGTTAGTTTGATGCCTTTTAAGTCAATTTCAATCAACAGAAGAATTCTCCTGATCATAGGAGTAAATTTAGGCTTTCTCGATTGTTGAAAACTTTAAGAGTCGAATCTTAACCACCTTTAATGTGGTTGCCATGTGTATAAGCTGCCATCATTGCCGCCGTTAATGAGGGATTATCCTTTTTTTTTCCATTTTTTCAAGCTTTCATCATGAACAAGAAGGCATAGGAATCGGACAGAGAATTTGGAATCTCGACACCGAAAGTTATGAAACTTTAAATACATCTCAATCAGGGGTCGTAGAAATCTTTCTTTTTTTTTTTTCTCATTTGTCTGGGAATCATCTTATTTATGCACTTTATATTTCATTTTTGCAGGATGGATGGAAAAAATAGAAGATAGAAAAGTGAGAGATATATACTTTTTTTTTTCTTTTCTTCCTCTTGTATTCGGTAGGATGATTGAAATTATGAGAGATGGATTTTTTTTTCTTTTTTTTCATGTATGTTACAGATAAAAAAAACGAACGGGAAAAAAATGCACATGTATATTTTATCAGTGTATCTACATATGAACTTAGCATCTATAATAGGGAATAGATTAATTTACTATATGCCATATTGATGGGTGTAAACGTAAGTAATCTTATATTTCAATACATCATTAACTTTTTTTGCCTAATTTTGGGGTGGTAGGTCGAAAGGAATACTAATCTTTCCAATTTATCTATATATATGAAAAGAAAAAAAAAATTGAGGAGAGAGGGTATGAGAAGTCTTTATCATTTTCTAAGTTGCTAGAATTTTGAATTATTTAATGGAAAAGTTTTAGTTCCCTTTTTCTAGTTTACCCTATTTTTAAAAGCACATTTTTTATTATTCAAAATGTTAGTGACATTTTTTCTAATTTATATTTAAACATCACTGAAACTCTATGCCATTAAACCATCATTTTTAACCAAATAAAATCATTCAAAATACCAAAATTATTTCTACATAAATCTGAAACAATATTATACATAAAATTTGATTAAAATTCAAGTTGATTAAAATGTACTTTTTTACATATTAAAATTTATTTTTTTACATACTAAAATTTGAGTAGATTAAAATTTGATTTGAGCTGATTAAGTTTTATTTTTTTAAGTATTAAAATTTGAGATTATTAAATTTTTTTTACATATTAAAATTCGAGCTAATTTGAGCTGTTAGCGCAAATTAAAATTTGATTCAAGGCGATTAAAATTTATATATTTTCTTATTAAAATTCGATTAACATTGATTACAATTCATTTTTTATATATTAAAATTTGTGTTGATTAGAATTTATTTATTTCTATGTATCAAAATTTGAACTAATTAAAATTCAATGCGAGTTGATTAAAATTTGATTTTATCCTTTTGATCAGCTCAAATAAAATTTTAATCGGCTTAAATTCTAATGCG